TCATTCTTCTTCTTCTTCTTCTTCTTCTTCTTCTTCTTCTTCTTCTTCTTCTTCTTCTTCTTCTTCTTCTTCTTCTTCTTCTTCTTCTTCTTCTTCTTCTTCTCATTGTTACCATTATCATAAATGTATTATCATGTATGCCTATGGCGTTAGGGTCAGCCTATTTGACATTGCACACAGAAGACGTGGGTTCGTTATCCAAGAGAGGGACATTTTCTACCGAGGATGGACATCTGTCTGCTGGAACACTGCATCCTTCTTAGCCCAAAGAACCTGTCTACTTATTAACTATCTGAATTGTATCTATCGGAGCGGAAAACGTTATATTATTCAGGCACAATCACTTTTTACAGGCAATGTGAATGAGTGCAGATTTATTTCCTGTGAAACTTTTGGCAGCCCCCTTGCAAAAGGTATGCAACTCCTGGGATGGTCCGTGTTTTACTATCAATGATATTATAATGTTGGTATAGCTTCACGATTCGACCAGGGCGCATAGCTACGTGTAGTCTTAATTAAAATTTCATTGTGCTCAGTTTTTGAATAACGTGTCAGAAAGCAGTAGTCGTGCTGTGGGCCTGTGTTTATTCGAAATAACTGAGAAAAAAGTCGTTAAAGAAGATTCATATCAAGTAAAAGCCTCTAAGATCGATGTTCTCCTATCCTTTCGTTTGTTGGTATCACACTTGGTCTAAAGAAAGATAAAAATCATATTAGAGGAAAATTTCACAATTATTGTCACAAACGTTTATTATAGAAAAGAAAACACTTGTGCTTTTATTCCGTTTTCATGGTAAAGAAAAATATAATCAAATATAATGCAAAGTAATTATTGCAACGAAATCGGATAAAACCATAAAAAAAAATGTACAATCACTTTTTTATGAGTTCCACTGATGAACCAATCCTCGGTATCCGTTTCTCTCTCGCTCTCCTCCCCCCTCTTTCTCCCTCACTCACTCGCTCTTTCTCTCTCTCTCTCTCTCTCTCTCTCTCTCTCTCTCTCTCTCTCTCTCTCT